AAAATGGGCCTAAGTATTTGGGGGATGTTTTCTAGACAGCCTTTTTATGTTTTAAGATTTCCTCTAATATAATTTCCCAAATGGCAGTTCATGTAAATAAAATAGGAATAGCAATAAATACAGAGGCAGGAGTTCAAATTAATTCACGTTCTTCCGAACCATAGGTTTACATCACATGCCAAACATATTATTTAAGACTTTAAAGAAGAGATAAAGAAGAGACTGAGGAATAGAACTAAAATATGTGTTGTAGTCCCGCCATCGCCCACAAACATCCTATTATATAATTGTGGCAGGGATTTTTCCCATCCCAATACATTTAAGGCCATGCTGTGTGGTGACAATATTGCATTGCCGTGTCACTGTGGGACCAGTTTCAGAAGACAGCAGGGTACATGGGAAGCACCCACGCTTTAGGACTAGGTTAGCCCTCATTCCAACACAGCTCTCAGGCTTACTAGCTGTGCAACCTGGGGCAAGTAACTTAAAACCTTTGAGTTTTGATTTGCTCATTTGAAAATGGGACCACCGTATGCGTTATAATGGGTAGTTGAAAATATTAAATAATTTGATGTATGTGCAAACATCTGACAGAATGCCTGGAACTTAGTAAACACTTCACAAATGTTGATTTCATTCCCTTTCAGTCCTGTTTTTTCCTTTTTCAGACACATCTCATTTACACACTAAGAAAATTTTTATTTTTGGCAAACGTAAATTAAAGAAGTGATTCCTGGTTGTGGTTTGGTAAAATTCCAACTTGTTACTAGTTATTTTCAGATTTATCATACAACTCTTAAAATATAATTAATTTTAACTTCATTATTTTTAAATGCCACCCAGGTAAAATGGATGGCGTCACAAAATAAAATAGTAATAGCGGTAGCAGTTATCAAGAGGTTGGGAATCCCCATATCAAAACAAAAAGAGAAGTGGAAATTTGACATTTACAAAAAAACCAGATAGGATCTTAAGAACCGAGAACAAATTATTATAAAGGGCAAGCACAAATACAGCACTCAACTTGCTGGTCAGGTGGTTAAAGTCACAATACAGGATAATAAGTTGTACCTGACAATTTCATATAAGAAAGCTTGGAAATACAAACAAAGGTGCTGGGAAAGGTAATTCTTGTTTTAATAATATTTGGACAGTTAAGCTTAAAGATAGATGCTGTCTATATTTTCAAGACTATCTATGAAACTTAGCTAATAATAAGAGGATAGAGTAAAAATTAATAATGGACCAAACATATTTATACTAATAAAAAATTTCTCAAATTTCCAACTGTATTTGAGTTTGGTTTAGAAGTCATGTACAAACATTAATATGTTTTATATATAACATCCTGCTATTACAAATGAAAGGCAAATTCAGAATTTAATGATCAGTGAACATGCATGCAACACAAAACATTATTTCAAATTATGCTTTGTATCAACTTTGAAGTTGCAATTGTCAGAAGTTTGCTAGTTGTGGTCTTGCCATGCAAACTGCAATGCAGGCATTGGTAAAGGTTTACCCAACATGACATGTTGTGGAAATGATTAGCATTTATTCTTTCAGGTCTGGGACATATCGAGGAACAAAACTTACAAGAAGCCCTCTCCTTATATAGTTTACATATTAGTGTGGAGAGGAAGACATTTTAAAAAATAAGTGAATTATATAATATGTTAGGAGGTAAAAAGGCCATTGAGAAAAATAAAGCAAGGAAGTGTTTTGTATATCTCTGTTACATACTTGGGAATTATTGGGTTGTTAAAATTGGAAGTATCTTAAGAGTGTTTATGGGTATTAATAAGGAGAAATTAAAGTAAAGAGAAACTTCAATGGAGATTAGACAGATTAAATGCAGATTGTGACGTGGGAAAGGGGAAATTTTACTGGTAGAATCTTAAAGTTGGCAGAACGCTTAGATCTTGTTTTGGAAACCCTGGTTCTTCAGATTAGGAAACAGAAATTCTGAGAGTTTGGAAAGTAGAGAATAGGAATAGAATAGGAACAAAGATATCTTAAAACAATATTCATCCCTTTAGGTCAACAGTTTTATCTATACCGAGTACAAAGATTTTCTTATGACCCGGAATCAAGTATTCTGAGTTTCACTCTACTGGAGACATTATATATAATTGTAAGGCAAAAGTGTAAGGTTTTGGTTATTTGGACATCATCTCTATTGCCTTTGGAGGTAATGCCATTCCTGTCAGTAGATGAATGTAAGAAAGTTTTTCTTTAATAAACTCACTCTCTAGACACTGCAGGATAAGGTTGACAAAAGTGGACTGAAATATCCGATTCTAATTCTTTGCGTTTTGGGAATCTAGAAGTGAGAGGCCTGGCAGGACACCTCGTCCATAGTGCAAACAAATGCTTCCCTGGGCGATCTTAATCAAACATAAGCTGTAAGAAGAATTTGTACTTCATCTGATAGTGAACAAGAAATCATTAGCCTGAAGGTCTCCTGATCACTGGGAACAAGTACAAGGAGCCAATTCTTAAATGAACAAGGAGAAAAGACCTATTTTTTAGAAGGTGGCAGCCCAGCTTCCATTCACTATTCTTCACAGGACTCCTGATCACTGGGAACAAGTACAAGGAGCCAATTCTTAAATGAACAAGGAGAAAAGACCTATTTTTTAGAAGGTGGCAGCCCAGCTTCCATTCACTATTCTTCACAGGACACTGTGCTGATGCTGTGACTTCCAAGAACCTTCCGGGTTTAAGAGTTATCATGACTTTCATGACTTCAGTGCCTTATCTTGTTTCCTGAGGCCTATTACTCCCAGAGGGGCAAGACTGAAACATGCATCTGTCATGGGTTTTGCCCCTTGTTCCCAGCCTGGGTGGCTTTCCTTTCATCTGGCTGGGACAGATAAGAAGAATAGAGTTAGCAGAATCTAAGTCAAGGGCTTGAAGCCAGCAAGTCTAGTACATATCGATCAGGACCAGGGGCCAGTAGCAGGGGTTCAAATAGCAGTAAATTCTTCACTGGATAATGAGTACAGGCACTGGAGAGGATCAAAATCTTAGTTTCCAGTTTTATTTCAACGAATAAAATAGTAATTACAGTGATAATGATGATACAGCAAGTTTTAGCTTTGGAGAAACTACTATAGGAGTCTGGGTTACAAATCCTTGCAATCCCTAATGCATTAATAATAAGACTTCTTTAGCCAGAATGATGTAGGGAAGCTTAACATCATCCCAAGTGCAATTTCAAGGTGCCTTTACTTTGCAGCAGTCTTAGACGATCCTCTTGCTTGGTGATTGAATTAGTGCCAGGAAGGTTAAACCAGAAAGCACTGTGTTCACTTTTATCTCAAACTGCTTTGAAATCTTCCAGTACCTTTGCCCTAACTTGAAGAAGGTCCAGAAAGGAGCACAGAAAATGATCAAAAGGGTTGAAAATAGAGTCTAGGAGGAAAGTTTAAAAGAAGGGAGCTGACTTTAGTTGGAGAAAGAAGAGAAGAAAAAGATAACAATTGCAGTGGCTTTGAAGGTTACAAGAGTTCCTACTCACAGTCATCCATCCATTCATTTATTCATTGACCCAAGGTGCCTGCACTTGACCAAGACCAGGACCTGGCAGATAAGGAGAAGGACAAAAATAGAGGGAGACAAAACAAAGCCTTGCTTCAAAAATCCCCTCTCCATTGCCGGTGACCAAGAACTGAACAAAATCAAGTGTAATGTTGGGCACAAGTGGGAAATAAATCTGAAGTGAAGTGAAGGATACACAAAACTGAAATGCTTTCCAGGGCCAAAGTAGCAATGGAAAGAAATACATCCTCACTTGCCATTTGTTTATGACAGAATCTATTGGTTAAATGGTGAAGTTATTTTTAGGGATGGTTGGGAGAACTTCCACCAGAAAAAAAAACAATTATTAGCTTCAATTTTGTAGTTTGGAATATTCTATTACAGGCCTGGTGTGGTCATTGTAAAGCAAAGCAACCAGTTCATGGTTTCCATTGTGCTTTTCATCTATGCTGAACACTGTATGGTTCATATCTGGGTCCATCCAGGCCACATAGAGAGCAGAAAAAGCAGAAGCCATCTCTTCCCACCACACTGAAGTTAACAGAGAACCCACTGGCAAGTTTACCAAGAAATCAGCATGTACAAATTCATGGTAATCACCGTGTTATCTTAGTCTCGAGTTCCTCCTGTGCCACAGGTTCTTGGAATTTCCCAGCCTTTGATTAACTGAGATTTATCATCATTTAGGACAAATAAAGTCATGATTCTATATTGCAAATATAGGGGTGACTTTCTGCTTTATTTATATAGTATAGACAAACAAGTTGGATAATTTAAATACTGGTAGTGTGCTTTTTTTTTTTTTTTATGAATTTTCTGGTTTGACTCTCTAATCAGTCAAATAGGAAATTTCAAACTTTTCCAGACATACTTAAGTCAAGTTTAAAAACTCATAAGAAACGAAGGCAATAGAAATTGAATTTTATAGCTCAGGAAAGCACTTTCTAGTCAATATTTTCAATATTCAGTGGTCTCTGTGAAAACTTTGGCATGAATTTTATTTTTAAAAATGCTCAGAATTGACTTTGTGGGTGTCACCCACATGCAAATTGCCCATATCTGAAATTATGAGAAATTGAGAAGTCATTCTTGCCTATGTTCTTTGTTTATTGTATACATTATTATAAAATGGACAGGACATTTTAAAGAAATTGTGTACTTGTAATCAATCTATAGTCAATTTATTAAATCACATTCTTAGAAAATATCTACTTTGTCTAAAGTACATTGTTTTCTTCTGAAGATAATGCTGGAATACATATCTACTGTATATATAATTTATTAATGTAGCATATGGCACAGCACTAGAAAAAATTGTTTTTAAACATATAAAATTGCACATTATATGCACAAAATTCAATAGAAATGACAACTATAAAATTCTTTAACTGCAATCTGCCTTTTCTCCTTCCATCCTCAAACAGTATCTCTTAGATCAATATCTGTTCATAGCTTACCTGTCTCACTTCCAATCAACGGCTGATTTGCAAAATGCTTGACAAAATCCTTCAAAGATGGGAATTCGTTAAAGCCAAATTTAAGTGAATATCCAGTATATTCAACATGAAAGTGTTTGACAGAGTCTTTGGCTCTGAAAAGGAAAGGGAAGTGTTTAATGTTATTTAACAACGAATATCTTTTTTGAAGGAAAATATAACCTTAGGTATTGGCATCACCATTAACCCTGAGAACTGAGAATTAGGCAATCATTGAAATCACTGGCATTTTGGGCCGGCCCGGTGGCGCACTGGATGGTGCGCCGCTTGGGAAGCGCGGCGGCGCTC